TCCTCGATACAGCTACTTTTGAAGAATTCGTTAGGCTTCGGACTATGCCATATGCTCTAGTGGATTATTTTATTTAAGTTATATATCATTGTCTTTATTAGACAATGAATACTTTGTAATTTTAATTCACAGGAAAGGAGGAAAAAGGCACAAGAAGTTAAAAGGAAGAATAATTTCCCCTAAACAAAGTCTTGTGGTAGTTATGTGTTGGCCAATAAGGAATTGATGGATGCCAAGAGGAGGAAGAGAGAAGGATAAGCTCAATCAGATCCTTCTATTCTATTATCTCCACCATCTCTAATATGTTGCAATAAGAGATGGATTTACGCTCACCAAAAGAAGGATGGGTCCTTTTCAAGCGAGCATGCTAATAAGGTTGCTTAAAAAATTATAAGTACAATTGTCATTTGTAATCTTATTTTGAATATGAAATATTACTAATTAATTGTTATTAGTATATTACAAGATGAGCTTAAATAGAAGCATTCTGAGGGATCATTCATCCCAAAGGGATGAAATGATATCCTGACTGTTATTATAGGGAAAGGAGAGCATCCTAGACGTGTTTGGGGATTTCAATCAAGGGTGAGCATAAGAGATCTATTTGGGCCACCTCGTCGATGCCATTCTTTAAGACTCATGACTAGGGAGAAGTTAGATGTCATGTTAGCTCAATCAAGGGCTGAGGCTGAGGCTACTCTTAAAGCCAGCCTACAAAAGATGAAGGAAGAAATGATGATAATGATGATGAGCTCAATCAAGGAGCTATACTACTTCATTCCACTCCCCTGCTTGTCATCCAGCATTAAAGGGAGCAACATCATTCCACTTCCTTCAGAGGATGACCCTGCTCTGAAGAGTAAACTATACTACTTGTATGTGGAGGATTCAGATAAATGCTTAATAGCACATGGTCGCATCCACGAGGGGTCAAAATGCCACTTCCAAAAAGTTAAAGAAGATGTTGTCGAGGTCACTATTGAAGAGGCAAAAATTGATTATGCTCCTATCCTATTCCTCGTTGATGAGATCAAGACAGTGAAAAATGTCAAGGGCACTATTTGCTTATGGCCAAAGAGACTTGTTGGGAAGCCTCAAGATCTGGTAACAAATTTTATTAATTAATTGTAATGAATTCTTTATATTTAAGAATGTGTTACTAACTTTTTTATTTAACAATAAACCATATCATCCCATAAAGTAAGTCAAAAGCCACAATTATTCGAGCTAAGTCTATGGGACCGATTTGTATTGATGGCATATGGTGCATCGTTTCCACCTTGTTGTTTTAAAGCAATTCCTAGTCTTGCTGGCATCAACAACTATGAAATATTTGTTAAGAATGAAGATCTCCATAGGATTCTCATTAATACTGACCTAACCATGGCATTCAAATTAGGATGATATAAGTATCTTCTTGTAAATTTAAATGAAATTGAAAAATTTATCTTTTCAAACTAACTTGTTTTTATTTTCATAGGTTTTTGCATCAATTGCTAGTTTTCTTGAGTAAAGACAAACAATACAGATTTCTTTACCCACGTTACACTAATGATAAGGAGACCACCAAAGAGGCAAAGGAGACATATATGAACCAAAGGCTCAATGAAGGCAGAAAGGAGTGTTACTTTTCTATGTTTCTCAATTTGTAAGTAAATATGTTTGAATTTATTCATAATGGTATCGAATATTTACTTAAGTCACTTTATTTTTTTGCAGTACACACCGGCAATTGATAGTATTTTTAATGAAAAGCAATTCTATAATCTTTTTATGCTCTCTACATCATAAACTCAATCCAGCATTAAAAAATTTTATGAGCAGTAAGTGTGCTTAAGGAGTCTTATAATGCATTTTGCTTAGTAGTTAAGTTACTAACTAAGTCATGTTGATGATAAGGCTATGAAGATTGGTCAGTAAGTTAGGTTGGGCAAGGCCCCACATGATGTCAAGGATCCTACATAGATAACACCAAAGGTAACAAGTTGTACATGTTTTTATTTTGTATAATTTTGATGATAGGGCTTTCTTTTAGTATAATTATAACAATGTTGTGTTATTCCACAGAGCCATTGGCAACCCCCTACTAATTTGTGTGGCTTTTATGTGTTGAGACATGCATACAATATCATCACAGTAGCTTGATTGAGTTCATTGAGGAGGTAAATCTAATTTTAGGTGAAAATTATTTGTTTTCTTCAAATTGCTAATTTAATTCCCTTATCCCTAATCTTTTCAAATGTTCAATGATCCATCTCCATTTTCAAATTCAGAGATCCATCAAATTAGGCAACATTGGGGACTCTTCATGTTAGATCTTCATAATAATCATCCTTTAGAAGAGTGATCTGTGTAATTGTAAACATTGGTATTTATAGTTGTGTGTAGGATTACTTAGTTAACAATTTATGTTTTATGCATTTGAAATTGTACATAATTTCAAATTCATTTAATTTGAACAATATATGATTGTTTGGCTGGCTGGCTATTATCTGGCTACTAAATGTTTGATTAATGCAGGCTCTAAATTATAGCCTATCATGGCTGGGGTAAATTAAAAAAACAAGAGTATTTTTTTTTTCAAAATTCAATATCTACACCAATTCTGGTAATAACCAGTATAGATATCTAACTCATCTACACCAGTTGTGGTCATAACCGGTGTAGATTACATAATATCTACACCAATTCTAAAAACAATTGGTGTAAATAGTCTGTAAGGTCATAATTGGTGCAGACGAGTTAGATATCTACATCGGTTCTAAAAGCAATTGGTATAAATAGTCTGTAATCTACATCGGGTTCTGGAAGTAATTGGTGTAGATATTATATAATCTACACCAATTGTTTCAAGGACCGGTGTAGATAATCTGTAATCTACACCGGTTGTTTCAAGGACCGATATAGATAATTTGTAATTTACATTGGTTGTTTTAAGAACTGGTGTAGATATGGATTTTTTAAAAAAAATTTATATCCATAATTAATGTTATCCATATCAGGTTTAGAACCAATGTAAATTTGTTCGTTAACTACACCAATTAAATAATTGGTGGAGATGAGTTCATGATATCTAGACCAGTTAGATAAGCTATTTTAACCTATGTAAATTTGCCAATCTATACTAGTGCCTGTTTTTCATGCCACTCACTATTTCCAACAGTAACACTCCAAAGCTAAATACATCAAATTTGACAGAAAATAGTCCACTAATTGCATATTTAGGTGCCATATAACCACTATTATAAGTCATAATAAGTTAATATCATATTCAATAATGTGCAAATATACAAAATCAAAATATAACTAAGCATACTCACTATGTGCCAACTATTTGCCTTGTGTTATCTTCAATTTGATCTCCTTTGAATATTCTTGCCAAGCCAAAATCAAATATTTTGGATTTAATTCAATATCTAATAATATATTACTTAATTTTAGGTCTCTATGGACAATTCTCAATCTAAAATCTTGATGAAGATATATAAGCCCTCGAGCAATTCCACAAATAATGTGAAAGCACTTGGACCAATCTAGAAATTGACTCTGAGTACCTTGAAATTTATAGAAATATACTTATCACTATCCAAGGAGAAATTAAAGCAAAAGAAGAAAGTTTGCTAGCTAATAGTTATTTATCATACAAACCAAAAATAAAGGAATCTAAGCTCTTGTTGGGCATGCATTCATATACGAGCATTTTCTCTTCTCCTTCAATGCAACAACCAAGAACCTTAACAAGATAGCGGTGTTTAAGTTTGGCACACAATTGACTTCATTCTTAAATTCACCCAATCCTTGTAGAGAGCTTTTTGAAAGTCATTTCACCGCAATTTCTTGTCCATCTAGAAGTTTACCCTACCATTTTTACATCATATAAATTATTGTTAGTATGTAATATCATAACTAATTTGAGTAAATGTAATTTGTTTCACTCTTGTTGACAAGTTAATTGCATGCTTACCTTGTACACAGGCCCAAAACCACCTTGGCCAAGCTTCATCTCAGATGAGAAGTCATTAGTAGCATTAGCTATTACTGCAAGGTCAAATATATGTACCTCCATATTTCCTTCATAGCCTTCTTCATTGTTTGCTGCTAACAAGGTTTTGAGCTCCATATTTCCTTTTGAGCCTTTTTCCTTTTATGCTACTAACAAGGTTTTTCTTAGTTTATGAAATAAATAGATATAAAGAGGAGAAAAACCATTAGTAGCACCAACTATATTTGCAATATCATTTATAGGTAGCTCCATTACACTCTCATACACTAAATGACAGAAATACTAAAAGAGCAAAACAAAACGAAAAATGGAAAACGTCCTGATCGTTTTGAAACATATTGTCATCAAGCTCAATCATTTTCATTCGAAACTTATTGTCCGAACAAGCAGATGGGAAGTGGCACCTATAGATTTTCTTCTGCGCCTGTAAATGTAAAAGAAAGTGATCAAAAGCATCGCAAGAGCCAATATAGTGGTCACTATTATGGCAATCACCTTTGTCTTATTTCCATTAGCTTTGTTATCTTGAGCTTCACAAGGAATTTTACTAACAGTTAACAGACAAAAAGTTGACATTGTTAAAGCACTCTAAAGATTACTGATGAATAATGAAGACTAAAAGCTATACTTGGCTGTGCAGAGGCAAGACGAATATATATATATCTTGATCATCAAAAGCAATCTGCCTTATATCGATTAAGTTACCAAACCACATGGCACAACCATTACCTCCTAACCTGATATCTGAATTAGCATAAGCAGTACAAGAACAATTTTCCCAGCATTTTGCTTTGCATTCCTCAAGTGTCATACTTGTATTAACCCAAGAATATGTAGTATCTGGCAATTTAAGCCTATTAAATTTCACAAAATAATCCCCATTTTTTCCTTGCAATCCATGATTTGTTTAGAACACATCCTTCAGCCCAGTCCATGGTGTTCCATATTATTGGTTGATTTTGGTAGGAAACCTACCAAGCATTGGCATATTGGTGTCTCACCCATTACACAGTTTCCATTTGGCCACAACGTTATATCTATCACAATTATCACTTGGAGCAAAGCTAAATGTCGTCCACCTTTGATCTTCTTCAATCCAAATTATGTCTAATACGGAGTACAATGTTTGGTTGAAGACAATTCTTGTAACCAATGACTCATTTTTGACATCATGTGTTATATAAACATCATCTTTATTCCAGACAAACTTTGGTTCATGTAGTGGATTTTTCATTGCATGAGAGATGCCACTGAACCAGACGCCATTCCAAAGGCCAACCCTTAGATACATTGTTGGACCTTGTCGAACTACTATATCAGGATAATTGTGTAGTGCATACTCTACTGTGAAGTCTCCAAGAGAAGGGTCATCCCAATTCTTCCATGCTGTATAACGTCGATTAAGACCAGCTCTCAGGTCCCATCCGATCTTCATTCCTAACAACTGAGTATCAGAAGGATAGTCGAAGCTTTGCCACAAGTAATTTTGGGGATTTTGATCTTTTCCATCTCTTAGAACCAAGTTTCCAGAGCCTAAAAGCTGTACAAATGGACTCAATGCCTTTGTGGTGGAATTTGCTGACCAAACAACAGTCCTTTTATGGCTGAGAAGCACAAGATGTGCCTCAGTGTTTATGCTCAACATGCCAAAGTTTTTTTTGATGGGTTTATCACGGTTTGCAACCCAAACAACATTTCTACTTGGGATTTTGTGGTACCAGATTCCAACATAGCGGTCTGTGGAACTTACTGGGCTGAAGAAACCCAAATCAACGATCCCATTTTTAGAAACCAAGGTCTTGCCATCAGGAAGAGACTTGAACTGGGTGATGATATCAATTGCAAAAGAAATATGGAGAAGAACAACAGCAGATTGGGAAGAACAAGCAAGCAAGCAAGGATAGCCATTAGTTTAATGAATTGGTCTACACAAGGTAAAATAAATATATGCATGATACTGATATGACCCAAGTTGAAAGTACAGCCCACCAGAAGCATGCAGGTTGACTTGGTGCTCTTGAAGTCAGAAATATTGTATTATTTTCGTTGAGGGTAGAGAACTTAACTTTGAAGGCAAGAATAAGATAATGACTTTTGAAATGGATGAATAAGATAGTGACAACATATATGGAATTCGAAAATCAAACTTCATAATTTTTTTATATTATAGAAAATTCAACAGAATTGTCTACCAGGTTCTTGAAAAATAGAAGGGTTCGTTCGTATTGGAAATGCTATTAGTCAACATTTGCGAAATGCCCATGTTTTTAGTAAGTCAATTCCTACTACTTTTCCCAAGGAGAATGTTAATAGAAGTTTTAGTCCACAAACACACGCTCCATCCTATGCACATATAGATAGCATTTTTTTTCTATTGCACCTAATTAAGTTTTCTCAACCAGTAATTGAACAAAAAATCGCAGGCTAATATCAACTTTAAAACCTAGCTAGGCTGGAACCAGAATGAGATTCAAACATCAAATGGATACTTAAATGGTCTACAAACTGAAGCAAATTGAGAAAGACCTTTGTATCAGATTTCGTTGCTTAAGTTCATTGAAATTGCTGGGTGAAGAAGGAACCAGAGTTCCACGCTTCCACCATCAGGATCCAAGAGGAAGTGGACGAGACTGGTTAATCCAAGAGGAAGAGGAATCAGCTATCAGCTGAAGAGGAAAAGGGAGGGCAAAAATAGAGCCCCTCGGTAATGGGAAGCACAACAGGAAGAAGAGTTAACGTTGATGGTTTTTTGTGGTGGTTTATTTTTAAGAATAAAAAATTTAGAATTTTAAATCTTATGTTTCTATTTTTCTCAGGAAATGATAACGTTAGAACTGGGATCTGAGCCAAGACTATTAGACTGTCCATCTAAATTTTTTGTTTAAAAAAAAAAAATCAGGCTTTGAAAATTAGTTATCACTACTACAGAAATGAATATATATATATAACAGGCTTTATTGGACAGTTATAATTATAACAGTCTAATAAATTAAAATATTGGACAGTTCTTTTTAAAACCGTCTAATATATGTTTGAATTTTTTCAATGCCTTCTTTTTTTTTAGACTTTATTGGACGGTTATTATGAAACCGCCCAATAAAGATGTTAAATATTGGACGGTTAATATTTTAACCGTCCAATATGTGCTTTCTTCCATATATCAGCTTGCGGCATCCCTCTTCATTCTAGATCTAATATTTCTTCATCTGGCTATCGTCTCAGCTCTCCTCTTCTTGTCTCCTCTCCTCTCATTTCGGCCATTAATCTCTTCCAAGCTCTCTCTTGCTCTCCCACCACTCTCTTCTCCTCCTCTGCCACCGAAGACTCGTCTCTCACCACCGAAGATCTTATCTCTCCTCATGCTCTGCTCTCTCATGTGTAAGTGGTCTCATTTTCTCCTCTCATTTCTTCTGAATCTCTTGCTCTCTGAAATAATTTAACTTGATTTTTGTATTTCATTGTTGTATGGATTACTGATTCTTGATTAGGCTTTTGTTTCGTTCGATCAGATTATATTGATTTTGGGTGTTATTGGTGTTGTACGCAAGGTGTTCGGTAAAATGCTTCACAGAAAAAAAAAAATGAGTGTTGGCAAGAACCCACATAAAATTTAAGTTATGGGTCACTTGAAAATATATGTTAAACTAATAATATATGATTAGAAGATAGTTATATTTAGTTTTTATTTTTATCTGAATTTATTGTCTATTTTTTATGTATTTTTTGTTTGAACAATATTTAACTGGTTTGAGTGAAAAAATTTTATCGTTTGGTTCTTTGATTGATGATTGAATAGTATATGAAGTTTCATAATAATTAGAATTGTATATGAGTACTTTTAGCTTACTCAAAATTTATGTGTAATTTGTAGTTTTAAATAACATGTGATATTGTTGTTTTTGATGATGATGATAATGTGATTAGAATTAGGGCAAAATGCCTAAAAAAATTTTATTTTTATGCCATTACGCTGCCGAATTTTTGTTTGAAAATAATAGTTTGGCATTTTAGGGGCCCTTTTGTTTAACTTTTTTTAAATTAAAATGTAATTTTTTTATACAAGAAAATTTTTTTATTTGTTTTGAATAAGGGTAGAAAATTTTAATGAAATCAGTTTTTATAAATTAATGACATATAATTTTTATAATAGTTGGGCCTATATATTAATGTTAATATTGAAATATATATATATATATATATATATTACTTATTGTTATAAGTAAAAAATGATTTTTTATGATTATAACTAACATAAAATAATTCTTAATTTTTTATAAATTATAAATAAAAGAATTTACTTGTTGGCAAGTTTTCACATAAGATAAAATACTTATAATTAATTTAACATAATTGTAAGTATTATCTTAAATTTAATTATCTTAGAGAGGGATGATGTGTGTGTGTGTGTGTGTGTGAAAGCATGTGGCGCATGATTGATAGAGTTAGTAATTAATATATTCATTAAATTAACTCTTTCAATATGATTGAGTCACTAATATAATTTTCCTCAACAATTCTTATTAGATTGAGAGAGATTATGGACAAAAAATGGATGTCTACGAATAGAGTCACAAAAGAATATGTCGATGGGGTAAAGGACTTCATTAGATTCATACTAGAGCATGAGGCAAACCATAATAGTATTGTATGCCCTTGTGTGAAATGTAGCCTCTTGAAGCGGGTTAGTGCGAGTGAGTTGGAAGATCATTTAGTGTGTTTTGGAATTAATCATACTTACACATGTTGGCATAAGCATGGTGAGTCAAGGGATATGACTGATAGAAGTCGTGAATATAGCAATACATACATGTCACAAGATTTCAAAACAAGTATAGACGAGGATGATCGTGTTGAAGAAATGACTAATGCTGTTGAAGAGAAACTCCGAGATTATCCAGAAATACTAGAGAGGTTGAGAAATGATGCAGAGATACCTTTATACACCAATTGCAAGAATTCTCAAAATTGACCGTTGTGCTGAGATTGTTCAACTTGAAAGCAAGAGGCAGGTTGATTGATACGATCTTCACAAAATTTCTTTCACTTATTCATGAAATGTTACCGAAGGGTAACAAGCTTCCAACCCAAACATACAATACAAAACAAGTGTTGCGATCTGCGGGCATGAGTTATGAGAAGATACATGCTTACTTTAATGATTACGCTTACATGCTTACCTTAATGATTGTGCTTTGTTTCAGAATGAATATGCATCATTAACTAAGTGTCCTAAATGTAATTCATCATGTTATAAGGATAATGGAAAGAGTCCGAAGAAGGTGGTATGGTACATTTCCATTCTGCCTAGGTTTAAACGCTTATATAGTAGTGTAGTAGATTCAAAAAATTTGACATGGCATGCAAACGAGAGAATTAGAGATGGTATGCTAAGGCATCCTGTTGACTCTACACAATGGGAAAAGGTTGATCGAGAGTACCCAAACTTTGTAAAAGATTCTAGAAACCTACGCCTCGCACTAGCTATCAATGGAACGAATCCACATGGCATATAAAGCAGTACCCATAGTACATGGCTAGTGATGTTAATCATTTATAATCTACCTCCATGGCTATGCATGAAGTGCAAGTATTTGATGATGTCCTTGTTAATTTCTGGGCAAAAATAACTAGGAAATGATATAGACATATACTTGGCTCCTTTAATTGAAGATTTGAAGCTATTATGGGGGACAGGGGTCGAAGTGTATGATGTATACAGGAAGGAGACATTTAATTTGAAATCCATCTTGTTTGGCACAATCAATGACTTTCGAGCATACGATAATTTGTCTGGGTATAGTATCAAAGGAAAACTTGGATACTCTATTTGTGAAGATAACACATAGTTGGTGAGATTAGAACATGGTATGAAAAATGTCTACATGGGACATCATAGATGGTTGCCTCAACCACATTATTATCGAAGATTAAAAAAATCTTTTGATGGTAATCCAGAAGAAGGTGGGCCATCTCTATTTTTATTCGGTGATCAGTTGTTTGAAAAGGTTAAAGATTTGGATATTGAATTTGAAAAACCTTTTGCGAGGCAAATTAGCACAAGTGGGTAGAAGAAAAAATCTATTTTCTTTGATTTGCCGTATTGGATGACCATGGATGTGCGACATTTTCTTGATATAATGCACATTGAAAAAAATATGTGTGAAAGTATTATTGGTACGTTACTACAGATTTCAGGAAAGACCAAAGATGGCATAAAAGCAAGGCTAGATATGGTTTCTATGGGTATAAGGGAAGACTTGGCACCAAAGGAGAATGGAAGTCATACGTTTCTTCATCTAGTAGCTCACACATTGTCCAAAAAAGAAAAAAGGTCATTATGTGAGTTTCTTGGTGCAATTAAAATTCCAAAGGTTTACTCTTTTAATGTGAAGAATCTTGTGTCAATAAAAGACTTAAAGTTGAAAGGTTTAAAATCTCATGATTGTCATGTCTTAATGGAAAATTTTCTTCCAGTAGCCATAAGTTTATTTTACCTAACAGGGTACATAATGCGATAACAAAACTATGTCTCTTTTTCAAATCAATTTGTAGCAAAGTGATCAACCCTCACAAATTGCCAAGGTTACAAGGCCGAATTATAAGGACATTATGTGAACTTAAAATGTATTTCCCGCCTGCACTTTTTGACATAATGATTCACCTTACTATTCACTTAGTTAAGGAGATAGAAATATGTGGCTCGGCTTATTTAAGATGGATGTACCCAATTGAACGTAACATGAAGGTACTAAAAGGGTAAGTGAAAAATCAAAGTAGACCTGAAGGTTGCATTGTTGAAAGGTACATTACTGAAGAGGTTGTTGAATTTTGTTAAGAGTAATTAAGAGATGGAAAATATGTTGGGATCTCAGTAGATAGACATATGGGAAGAGAAGATGGGAAAGGAATGAAGGAAGTTAAATTAGTCACTATCTCAAAAACACATTGGGAGCAAGCACACCTATATGTATTACACAACTCTAAAGATGTTGACGAGT